AATTTTAAAGTAAGGTAGTAAACCAACCCAAGGGAAAATAATGCACATAAGCTGTAAATTATATCTAGATATTGGTATTAGTGCAAAATAAACACAGAACCAGAAGTGCTGCAAATAAGTAAGCCACCATGCTGTCCATAAGCAGACTTATTTAAAAAAAACAGTTTAAAAGCAATAATTCTGCACAAAGGGCAGTAATCCTTATGATTTAATCATTTGTATTTGCTATAGCAAGCTCAGTAAAAGATGAGTCCTATATTGTTTCTATGAATTGCTCTTTGCACATTGTTTTTCATAAATATGAAAAGGCTTTAAAAACTATCAAATTAATTTGAGTACTGATCTGCAGTCACAGTAAGTAGAATAACATTAATAGAGGGTTCTTAGAATCTTAGATTCACTCAGAATTTATATTATTCATGATGTATCCACCGGCAAATCATTCATCTAATGAATATGCTTCAACATAAAACATTCCCAATGCCAATAGAATTTGCCAGCATCTGGATTTTTGAATCCTTCAATGGTAAATGATGTTACACTGTATATAACATTTGCCCTGTTCACTACATTGATAGATCAGCAAATGTTACAAGATTGATCTTCTAATATTTAATTTTCTGCACAGGCACATCCAGGTGACTTAAATATTTTCCCATGGGGATTCAAGCCATTAATTTCAGCAAATGCTGGAAAAGTCCAGTAAATCCAGGATGGACATTTTTAACCAATATATATTTATATACACCTTAGTGGTGGACTGGAAACTTTTGACCTGAGAGGCAAAACTGGCCCTTAAAAGTGCACTACACAAAGGGTTCTATTTCTAAACAATTCACATGGCCATTCATCCTGCAAATATCTGTGAACGCTCATTTTGTGCGAATAATGACAAAAATTAAGTTCTTAATATAATTTATTTTCAGGTCGAATGTATTGTGATGTGAAAGTGCATGACCCCTTTAATGCTATTTAGGCTGCTTGAAAATAGCCCTAGACAGTCCTAGTAATTCTGCAATGTTTGCACCACAATGGTCTAGCCTGTTGTTCCCTTATAAAACGATTACTTGTAAACATAGTATGTGCATCATCTTTGCCTGTAACTCCCCCACTGACCTTGTTAAATTTGAGAGAGTAGTACGGTTTACTTACTTTGTCCTATGTGATAATTCTGCAGGATGCTCTGTAGCCTGATCCTCTACAGCACTGTAGCCTTGGCTCTGAGGCCTGGTTTACATGTGGGCGTCCCAGGACCATGTTTGTGAGCAGCGGTTGTGATTTCAATAGGGTCACATCCACACGGCAACCGCGCCAAACAGGCTTACGCCTGGTTCACACCCCGGCGGCCCGGGACCGCTTGCGGTTGCGTCAAAAAGGCTCATGCACCTTTTGGTGCAATGAGCAACCCATGTTTTTTTGCAGCTGTGCTGGTGCACGACTGCACAGGGGCAACTGCAGCAACCGTGGCATGCAACTGCGTGGATTGTTAGCCATGATTGGGGTGCCCTTAGAAATGATTCCTCAAGCCTGAGCCGTGCGGATCACCTGACTATCCCGTATTGCTTAGATGTGAACTGGGCCTCATGCATCTTTTTGTGTGGTGAGCGACCTGCATTTTTTTGCGGCTGTGTTTGTGCGTGATTGCACCCACGGAAACGAATGGCACCCCAAGCGTTGTTTGCCTTTGTGCACGATCGCACAGTGAAAGGTTGAGCTGTGGCACATACTCTTCAATTGCCCACTACTGGTTCACTTATGTGAAAGGTACGCTATGTCCCCCTCGGGATATGATTTTCAGTCCTAATAGCAGTTCAACTGCTTCAGTGAAAAGACCCATTCACACTTGAGCCTTTTGCAGTTCAAACAGCTAAGCGCTGCAACACTCAACAGGAGGAATCCCATTGTTTTCAATGGCTCCTTGTTCACATCTGAGCATTTTGTCGCTTGTGTCTCCTGTAGCTCAAAAACATACATGAACTTCTTTTGGATCAGAATCAAGCACTTTGGCCTCGGTAGACTAAAAAGGAGCAAAACTGTGCATTTTTCTGTCTAGCAACTAGCTTTGGCTAGTTAGCTCATTGGCTAAAAATAAAAAAACAGTGGAGGCTGAAACTCACACAAAAATGCCCGTACAAACGCTCAAAATAAAAAGGCTTGAAAAAACACCCAGACTCTCAGCTCAAGTGTGAATGGAGCATAAGCACAGGTTTACTTACAAATATTTGACACATGACAGTGAGTTATCCTCTATTTATAGCTACTGCATTTTTAAACTAATCTTTTGCCTTTTAGTATTGTTCAGAGAAGTTAGTGCAGGTAGCAAAGTGTCTCCTGTGTTGACATAATCACTGATACATTGTTAACAAAGCGTTACACTTACAGGTGCATTGACAGTCAGAAGTCACCGGTTCCTCATCTGTGCATGCCTTCACATTATACATCACTGACAAAGTGTTTACAGTAATCCTTGATGTTTACGTTCATTTCTGGGGTATCTAAACTGACAGGCTTTTGAAATAGAGGGAAATAGTTACATCGGGCATTAATTCTGTGGCACCAGGCTAGGTATTAATATGTGAATGATGAATTAGAATCTGATTTTCCTTTGAAGTTACTACATATGACATGTGTGAAATTTCTTAATTGAGTCAGCTGGAGTCATCCCTGGCTCTTAGTCAGGAGAGCAATAAAAATATCTCACTCCAAAGGCAATCTGTTATTTGCGCTATATCAAAGAGATTGGCTTAATATATACTTTATTTGGGTGAATCTTCTAAATGCCTTAGGCTAAAAGTAAAAGCTGTCTCATCCTCATCTACGGGATAACTGTAGAGGTTTCTTTTTTAAATGTTCTTAAAAGAAACCCTCCAGGCAGATACACTGTAATTTCTACCACATAGTTCATTTATATTTAATGAAATATCAATTCCCATCATCCTCCACACACCAACATATGTGAATTTTAATTCTGGCTAGCAGTGGAAGTACCTGCAAAGGTTTCTTTGGGGTAGGTGTTTAGGGTATGTTTGGAGTTCAGAACATTCAGGTTGTATAAGGATTAAAGTGTATGTCTACCCAAAAAGGTAATGTTTTTTCTAGTTTTGGATAGAGTAGGGAAGGGATAGAACCCCTGCGGTGGTGTAACTATAGCCATAGCAGCCCACGTGGCTGCTATAAGGCCCATGGTGAGACAGGGCCCCATAGAGAGATTTTCTGATATTTGCATTCCAGAACTGATGTAAAATGCACAGGAACATGCTCTGGGATCATGGTGCTACTAATTACAGATGTCTTTTCCATCCCTCTCATCTCTGAGTAGATTTATTGTCCTCAGCGGTTCTGCTCATCCTGGCCAGCACTTTGATATAAACACAGTATTCCTGAAGCTGAAGTGTATGTAAAGCCAAAAACGTTTGTTTTGGATAGAATGGTGAAGGATTACTTACCCTGCCAGGTTTTAACTGCTCTCTGGTGCTCAATTAGCGAGATTTTCCCAGCGGGAAACAGCGGGGGAGTGTGGCAACAGTGAGTATCAAGGGGGATTCTTCCTACAAGGCAACCGGTCCCTTTGCCTAATAGGGCAAAGTGACAGATTCTTTGAAAAACTCCCTGCAGCTGTATTAATTACAACTGCAGAATTTCAGTTGGGGTCTTTCTACATGTGACTCTGATTTTTATCAAGCCTACAATAGTAAGTGTTAACTATTCTCTATTTCTGATTAGTTATAGAAACCTTTATACCGCAAGACAACCTTTGCAGTTATTGCAACCCAACAAATTATGTGGCTCATTAGCCTTTGATTGAAAAAAAGTATACATGCATTGAAAACAAGTATCTATTTTGATAGTTTTTTATAGCTGCATTTTGTGTGTTACCTGTAGTTCTTTAAATACACTTCCCTTGCAAAATCTTACTTTATATTATGTGAAAATTATTGTAATTATGTATATAGAGTTTAATTAAAGAGCCAAACTTAATTATGTATATAGAGTTTAATGATGTTGTTGTCTATGCATTTTTATTTTTAAGTTGTAGTGAAAATCTTTGAAAATAAAACAATGTTCATTGTTCATCTTTCCAAAAATAACAGCAAATGTTTCATGGCTTTACTAAGAATCAATCAACTTCAACTTTAATTTTATTTGGAGCATCATCCATATTTATTAAATTGTCTTATTAAGTCCTTTATGTGGCTTTGTACTGCTTAGTAAACTTTACAAAATATGTCTAGGTTGATGGATGATCCTGATGTTGTATTTCTAAAAGGAATGCACAGTAAATGAACTGTAACACTTTGCATCTTGGAAATACCCTAGGATTCATGCTTGCTGTTCTCTTATGTACCATCAAAAAACAGTGTTCTAAAGAATAGCCCCATGTGACCAAAATAAATCATGTTAAACAAAAAGCATTGCCCAAAAATTAATGGAGATGGAATATATAGTATTAGCCATACGGACCACAGATATGTGTAAAATGTCTAGCGTTGGTTAGTTTAGAAAATGAAAGAGCAAGCATGATTTTTTAATTTTGGGTGAAGTAGGATAGGATTGGATCCCCCTGCTGGGTCTTTCCTGTAACAGGGCAAGAGCTTGGCCTTACCTTGAGTTGCTTTGGCTGACCTGTTCTACATATTTACCTATGGGAAATCAATTAGAGAATTCTGCCTTTTGGGGATTCTTAATAGTAATATTTGGAGAACACCTAGGCTGGTGCTAAAAAGACAAGCTCCGGGTCAAAGTCATACCTTGGTGAGGGATCTCCCTGTGAAGGAGCATGAGAGCAGTGAAGAGCCAGCGGGTACCCAAGCCCTGAAGGAGTTCAAAATAGAGAAATCGCTTTTTTGAACCAAGCTGTTTACAGTTGAAGTCAAGTAAGTTAGTATGGTCACTGTGGTCATTATTGCCCCCTTTTCTTTAAACTGAGTTGTCACATATTTCTGCCTGCCTGTCTGTGATACTTTTTGATCTTTAATTTGTGGTTTTATGTGGCTTTTCAGAATGATTATCGCAAGCTGTCTATGCAATGCAAGGACTTTGTGGTTGGTGTCCTTGACTTGTGCCGGGACTCTGAAGAGGTGGAGGCAATCCTAAATGGAGATGTGGATGCTGAGCCTACGGAACCTCAGAGACACAAACCATCCCTGAGCCGAGTTAAGCTGGCTATAAAATACGAAGTCAAGAAGGTATGTGTATCTTATAATATATTATCATTCAGTTAGTTCAACTAACATAAACTAATTAGGAAGCAAATAATGTTTTTGAAAGCATTTGGTTATTAATAGTCACGTAACATACCCAGCTAATATTCATTTAAAAAATAGTGTTTAGCAAAGTTTTCACTTAAAAGATATTCTTTGAAATGCAACATTTAAAAATAAATTAAAACCTTACCAGTCACTAGCATAGTATACAACTGCTTGCCTAGGCAATTTGTGCTTCTTCATAAGGCCCCAAAGGAACAAGATGGTCATGCAATTGGAGTACCAGGGAAATGCTTCCTTCTAGTTTTCTTGATCTTCCAGACCCATCTAAAGCAAGACCACACTTATTACGGGTATTTACTTATTTTAGGGCTGTAGCATGGAAGTGTGTCCAATAGGACAACTGATGCCTGCGATAGTCCAGCTAGAGTAAAAGGGTCAGTAAGAGTTAGTAAATACAATACTCATTTTGCATAATGGTACCCATAGCCCACAACTGAGCAGTAACTCCCTTTTAAACCAACAACCTGAACCATCACACAGAGTTTGTCCCTGTGACTTTAATTAAAACCTGCTTCATCATTGTTATTGGGAAACTGACAATGTCACATGAGAGCTGCCCCATTACATGTGGTTGCCATGTTACATAAGACTATTATTGCATGCCACAGGAAACAGCAATTCTGCTGTCGTGCTACACAAGACTGATATTAATGACGTTTTCCAAATTACCCTGAACATAAAGCATACTTCTCTGTGTGTTCTTCATGCTAAGTAGGTAGAAACTAAGTTCTGGTCCCAACTGCACTTCCTAAGAGTCAAGCCACATTCCAGTTTTATGACTTGTCCCAGTTGACTCCTGATCCACATTGTGGGTAATCTGCCAGTACCTAGCCTGCTGCCGGACTACATTGGTTAATTCCGAGATCTTGACCAAAAGCACTAGTAAAATACCATTTTCACAAGACTGTATTTACAAGAAAAAAAAAAATTAGACATTTGGGGAACATTGTCTATCTGCAGTTATAACCTTCCACCACAGGTGTACAGTGTAATTACATATTTTTGGTTGGCCCTGCCCACCACCTATAAAATACCTATAAAATCAGTAGCTTTCACTACAAGATCTTGGAGCCAAGAGACCTTGATACAAGATTTGTTTATTTGCCAATGACAGCTGTTGCATCAAAAAAAAAGCAAATGTGGAATTCCAGGGGTAATTTAGTATCACATATTAGGTTAGTGATAAGTATTAGGTTAAGGGGTTAGATTTAAGTGTTAGGGTAAGGTTAGGGTATTAAGATTATTTTCATGTTAAGTGAAGGATTACGTTTTATAGTTCAGGAGGGGTGTTAAGCTTTACATTACAGTTTTAGACTTAAGCGTTAGTTTTTTAAGTAGGTGGGGCAGGTAAATAACAGGGTCATATTTGTATAAGTGTTGTACTGTACTGGAGACAAATTTAAATTTGTAATGTGCCCTATGACAAAATTGCCATCTATCCATGGTAGAAAGTTTCATTATAGTATAAATGCTCACATGGCTTTATATAGATTTACAGCAACATGTTTTCTGGTTCTTCGCTTAGTAGGTATTGACTATATGATATGTTTTATTTATTATTTTAAGAACATGCATTGAATTTCAAATCCATATCTAATGCATAGTACTTCTTATAAGCCTTTAAAAACAAGGAAACAGCCAATATGCATAATAAATTACTGACATTTCCCTTGTTCCAATCCAAAAACTATTGTGCATTAGGAGGTCAGTTTGAGGTTTTATAATGCAATTTGTTATTTCAGACAATTAGATTGTCCATGATCAGGCTTCTGAACTCATACTGTTTGATATAAAACTGGAAAACATTTTAGCACTTTTCAGAAAATCATACATTGTAAGGCAATGATTCTAGTAAGACCTCACTGTTTCTAAGGAGGCAGATCATTTAAGAGGGAAGCGTTGCAGATGACCTCGTAAAGTAATTTTCCATGTTAAATAGAGTGAGGCTGGAAGAGACCATTTGCGCTCAACCTAGAACTGACGACTAGAAAAATAGAGTCATGTGTCACCCTAGACTTTTAACAGTGTGGATCTTGGTATTTGGAGTCAGCATAGGTTGTTTAAATAAACAGTATACTTTTACACTTAAATTTTTTTTCAGTTTTCGCAAGGAAGGTAAGGGGACTCAGGAGAATGGCAGGGCGGCAGTCTGGCACCTGTTATTATACATGGGAATGTGTTGTTAACAGTTCAAAATATGGTGTGTGGAATGGCTGTGTGCCACCCTAGCAACCCTGACCCCCAGGCCACGACCTATGTTAAATATGCAAAAAATCTGGCTCTCTAGTTTGATAACAATGTGGAGATTTGTGCATGGTAAACATTGACATCACTTAATGGACACAGATGTGCAATTGGTGTGCTATGCAACAGCATTACTTATTTGTATATAATATGTAGGGTGATAGATAAGCTCATCATACTCTTGTAAATGAAAGACCCCCAGGAAACAGGATCTAGTAATAGATCTAGTAATAGCTTTTCTTACTGATTGGTGGTTGTCCTTTGGCAGCAATCAGCAAAACACCAGCATTATCTTGAGTTTTCAATTACATGGTAAGGTAAGCTTGTTATTCCAAAAAAGCAAGCTTACATTATATATAACCTAGCTGTATCAAGCACGTGCATCAGATAAGAAGAGAAAATAGCATCTTCTCCAACATTAACAGTGATAAAGAAATTATTTTCTGATAACCATATGTGCTAAGATACATGTATTAAAGACAAGACCTATATACATACACACATTCACAAAAAGGCCTATTAGAAACCTTTGTTGCAATACACATGCAAATTGAGTCAGAAAGGCATCCTCATATTTCTATTTTAGTTATAATTTACAGTAGTTATGACTTCTCTCTAACCTATACAGCACTACAGTAATTCTTTTCAAATGGGACAAGAGTAGGTAGTATTTTTTATTCAAAATGTTTTTCTAGTTTTGAATAGAGTGGAGAAGGATTAGAACACCTGATGTTCTAATCCTGTTGTAACTGTTCCCTGGAGCTCAGTTAGAGAGTTATTTACCCTCACTTCCTGTCTTGTTGACAACTGTTTCACCAGACAAGAAAGTCTGCAACAGGAACACAGTCATAAATAAAAATCTGATAGGGGTTCTAGCCTTGCTTCTACTAAACAAAGCATTTTTATTTTTGTCTATGTTGCTGTTGCATGCTTCTCACTTCCTCTCTGATATAACGTGGTTAATAGAACAAGAATAGAGGGTACATCTTTCTAAGGGAGCCCTGAGTAGTACTACCTGACAGGGGTTCTTATTCTTCCCCACTCCATAAGAAAAACTATTTTGGCTGGATATAGACTTTATGCACTGAGAAAATAAAAAATAGTGAAATATTTTGTGATCCGGATGGTATGTTTTTTTTTTCTATCTGGAACAGAAGGTTCAGTATTTATTACAACTAAGATCAAACAAGCTCTTTTAGTATTCAAGACAGACTTTCTTTGTAGAGTAACTATAAAACACAACACAAAACCACAAGATATTCTAAATATGTGAGAGTTTGGGAAATGCAATACGGATGTTTGTAAAAGGAAAAAAACACATGGGAAAGCAACACCAGTCAGTAATGTGATGTTATAATAACAAACATTAAAGGGCCGCTGGACACAAATCTCAATTTGGCATATATAACAAAATGGAACAAAATATGTTATTGTGATGGTCAAAATTTCTCAAGGATCCTCTCAGCTAGATAGGGCTTAGAAGGAGTCATTTACAGTGTAGGTAAACCTAAAACAATACAGTTTATTACAAACTTCTGTCACATATAAATGTAAGATTGCAAGCCTCATTATTTGCACTGCTAATAATCATTATTTAATACCTGGTGATTGTGCCCGTATCTTCCCCCCTGCATCACTTACTGCTTTCAGCTGTCAACGCTTATCAGGGGCTGCAAATCCCCTGGTAGCATTGACAGACATTAATTATAAAATGCACTGCCCTTCAAAAACCAAAATAAATATGTATAAATAAAAATATGAGTTGATATGTGTAAAATTAAATAAATATATGTAAATAAGTAAGTGAATGTATTTTACTATTTTCTCCAGTTATATCCCAATAGACAGATTCAGTATATGGTCAACCAACATGGGCAGCACAGTGGCCTAGTGGTTAGCACTTCTGCCTTGCAGAACTAGAATCCCTAGTTCAAATTCAAGTTTGGTATTAACTACATGGAGTTTGCATGTTCTGTTTTGTGTGGGTTTCCTCTGGCTATTTCCATGGTCCTAAGAATGGTATAGTATGTATGCATATAAGACGCAGACCTTGGACTGTAAAGCTGGTCACACACCTGCAGATTTTCATTAGGAATATTTGTTTGATTTCTTAGAGTTAATGGGTACAAATCAATAATTGTTTTTGACCATAGTAAGGCAAAAAATTGAAAGACGAATTAATATTTTTCTTGAACAAACGAATTTTAAAACGTGAATAAGCATCATGGCCGGGAATGTTAGAATTTGACCCATTGGCATGGCAATCTAGTGAAATATCATACAAAATTGGTGGTATGCATGACGGTACCATTAAATGCTCTGACAAACTATTGTTGTATGGCCAGTTTAAGGTCCTTGAGGGCGGGGACTGATGTTACTCAATAGTAACTAAAGTACTGCACAAATTGACGGTTATATATATATATATATATATAGGTGGTGGGGAGGATGGGGAGGCTGTTGCACACTACTGGGTGGGGATTGGGGGTACAGGGTTTGGCCTCTGCATCATCTGGCTCAGCTCTGGCTGGCATCCCGCCCAATGACGTCACTGGTTGCAAGGAGCTTGACGGAATGCCAGCCAGAGCATCCCACTCAGCTCCTGGGAATCAGTGACATCACTGGTTCCCAGGAGCTGGGTGAGACGCCAGCCAGAGCTGAGTGGGGAGTGTGTA